GGGAAAGAGGTTCCCCAAACCCACCCCTGAGCAGAGGGGCTGCTGCAGAGGTGTCTGACTCCCAGAGCCCCCTCCCCACCGACACAGCCATGCCTTGCCCCTCAAGGAGCCCAAAGCAACACCCTTGTGTCCCTGCTTCACGGGGGCAGGCTCAGGGGTTCTTCGTGTCTCAGGGCAACGTGTGTTGTAGCTGCACAACAGAGCTGTTGTATCATTTTCGGACTGGGTTAGACAAGGGTTTGTACAGGGAAGATCCTGTCTCAAGCAGGGTCTTGGACTAGATGCGAGCGCCAAAGGGCCCCGCTCTGGATTCCAGGATTCCTCCTGGACCCTGCCCATGGCACGGCTGCAGGCAGGGGTGCTGTGACAAGGAAGCCCGCATGGGTGCAAAGCCTGGGAATCCTGGGAGAGGCAGGTAATGGAAAACACATGCCTGGGGTGCGAGGACTAGGGCCCCAGGCTGAACCCCGGGACTGAAGTGTGCACACTGCTCAGGCAAGACTGAGGTACAACTGAAGGGGGCAGCGGGAAGGGGGAGGCACTATGCTTCACCAAGGCCGTGAGCTGCAAACACCTAAGGGGTAGCAGGGATAAAGTCACCTTGGCTGGGGCAAAATCACCTCGGGGAAGGAGTGCAAGCATAGTACTACAAGGCTACTACTGGCCACACAGGCTGGATATGGACACAGATAGAGATTGCTTTAATATAGCAGCGCCAGAAATGGTGATCAGAAGACCTGAACTTCCTGGATAGAGATGGCAGAACAGCAGCTCCTAATAATGGCAGGGCTGAGATATTCCTGGATGTGACAGCGACAAATCTTCAGCAGTCGGTCGGCAAATCAACAAGTGCTGCTATTTCAGACTTGGTTTTAATACACAGTAAGGACATCACGGAAGAGCTGACCGTTGGAAATAGCCTTGCAGGGAGTAAGCATGAGTCAATTCAGTGCAAAATGAGGATAAACAAAAGTGGACTGGTCTTCCTATTTTGGAAAGCCAGGCTTCGAAAAATCTGGGGAATTAGGTAACGAAGCCAATTCAGCTGAAGAATTCAAAGACTTCCATGTGGAAGAGGGTTGGCGTTTCTTTAAGTCAACCGCCTAACAACTACCTGGAACTTGTAGCCCAAGCAAAAGGGGGGATAAAAGGAGGAGAAGCTCCAGCCCTAACCATATAACTGTTCCAAAAAGGGTTTTAGGAATAAGTGAAGACCCTGTAAAGAAGGCAGAAAGGAATTCATTCACGTGGAGGACAGGAGGGGATCGAGTGAGAACAGCCAAAGGTCAAGCTGAGTTAGATGCTGAAAAATAAATTGAAGCAAACAGCACATGCAAACGGGATCCTCAAACGCTGGCAGTGGGGTTTCCTGTAGACACAGGAGAGCAGGGGCAGAGACCTCCCCTGGAAAGCTGTGCATTGTGGTCCCCCACAGCCAACATGGATGAATTCACCCTGGAGCAGACTGCGGGGAGGGCAGGAAGATGCATTGGGGAAGGGAAAGCCTCTTCTGCCAGGAAGCTGCAAGAGTTCGGCTGGTTCTGCCTGGCAAGATGCAAGGCGAGAGGCTGTGACTGTGGTCCATCAGTGCACGGGGGAGAGAGGAAGCTGCGCAAGCTGCAAGACAGTGCTGGTGTAGGATCAGTGGGTGTAATGAATAAACCTGCACTGGAACGTGGACTCACCAGAGGAAGATGCTCGGGGCAGACTCCCAGCGGGAACAGAGGGGCAAAAAGCCAAACTGGTTCCCAGGCAGGTCTCGGCAGGCTTGCATAAGGAACTGCAGGATGTGGCTGCTGGAGAGACCCAGGCCACCCCCTTCGGTCCCAGGTTCTGACTGAGAGCACCACTTGCAGCACGGTGCTCGGGGGGACGGTCTGGTGTGCCCCACAGCACCTTGAGCTGTGGCTGCCGGAAATCCAGATCCCAACTCCTCAAATGGGCAGGAGGCAGAGAGCCCTGTATGCCCACTGGCAGGCAGAGTCCCTGGCTCCTCGGCTTTTTCTCTCTTCCAGGTCCCAGGTGACACAGGACCTGCCCAGCTTCTGGCCCTGATGCTGGATGAGCATAACAGGGGTTGGCAGTGGTCCCGACACGATATAGGCTTGCTTGCAAGACAGTGGCTTCTGGTGCCAGGAGAAAACCTTCCTCCCAGAATGGGCTTCACGGCTGCTGTTTCCTCCCCACGGGGACCGGGGAAAAGCCACGGCCTCCTGCTTGAAGGGGGCATTTCACATAGCTGGGCCCAGGTGACGCTGAACTACTCCCAGCTGCCCAGAAAACGAGTCTCCCAGCACTGTGCTCCGGGAGCAGACCGCTCCCAGCAGAGTCGCGCAGACGTGCTGGCACTCACCACCGCCTGGTAAGCCACGCTTAGACCTGCCTGGCTTCAATGGAAGAGTCAGTGGCAGGGCACTCTCACGACTTTCCCCCGGGCACCTGGCAAAGTCAGCTGCCACCTAAGAGAGCTTGTGCCTCTCTGAACCAGTCTAAGGTGGCACTCTGCTCTACCTTCTGAAGAGCCATGCCACTCTCCAAGGCCTCCCCTGGGGATTTGATTTCTGGCTGCGAGCTCCTCACACTTAATAATCCCTTTCTTTTTGTGTTTAATGAAATCCCACATGCCCATCCTTCAGCTCATGTTGGATTGGCAAGTAATGCAGAAGAGGCAGACCCGCTCCATGGCCACTGCTGATCAGTACTCATAAAGACACAGGGCAGCGCACTTGTACCACCCGAGAACAAGGAAGCATTTTCGCCTCTGTTGGTAACCATGGGGGATGTCAAACAACGTCATAAAAACAACATCCACTAAGAACAAGAAGTTTGAGATCAACAGACCTGGAGAATCTGCATCCTGGAGTCCTAAAACGGTTGGCTGTGGAGACCTCTGACCTGCTGCTGTTCATTTTTGAGGAATCGTGGAAGACCAAGGATAGTTCAGAAGCCTGGCAGTGGTAAAGCAGTGCCAACACTCGGAAAGGGCCCCATGTAACCAAATGCCTTTTGGCTGGACCTCAGCCCTGGGCCAAATAACGGAGCAGCTGAGATGACACACTATCTTGCCAAACAAACCTGATTTCACTCTCTGGTAAGACTGCCGACTGGGTTTCATCGTGTCATAGTTGGTCGGGTCAGAAGGGACCTGAGCAGATCATCAAGTCCGACCCCCTGCCACGGCAGGAAAGAGCACTGGGCTCAAATGACCCCGGCAAGGTGTTCGTCTAACCTCCTCTTAAAGACCCCCAGGGTTGATAAAGGCACCTGGACAGGTATAACCTGCCATTTGACTTGGTGCCAATGGACCTGCTGATTAAAAAATTAACACAGTAGAGCATAGGTTAAATGGATTAGGTTCTAGCTGACTGATCTCAAGACTCTGAGGAATCATTATCAAATGGGGTTTATTTCTGTCAGGACCTGCATTAGGCCTGTTGCCACGTGAAAATGTTATTATTGATGTGGAAGTAACACAAAAATCACTGCTGATAAAGTCTGCAGACAAAGACTGGCAGAGCAGTGAGGAGGAGCGAGGACAGGGCAGTCACACCAGCAATCTGGCTGACCCGGCATCCAGAACCTACTCGAGCAAAATGCATTTAACGAGGCCAAATATAGTTATACATCTAGGAGCAAGGTGCGAAGGCTGGACCAACCGAAGCGGGGAGGGCAGGCTCCATCCTAGAAGGCAGCGACTGAAAGGATACAGAGGTCACAGCAGACAAGCAACTCCCTGTGAGCTCCCAGTGTGACGCTGTGGCACCAGGGGATCACGGGGTCTTGGCACATACAAGCAAGGGCCCAGCAAGCAGAAGCCGTGAGATTATTATTTTTTTCTACGTGGCACTGGTGACGCAGAAAAGCCATGCCCGGTCCTGGCATCTGCATTTTAAACACAATGCCGAAAACGAGGAGGGATGGCCAAAGACGAATATACCTCCTCTGCTCGTGCTTGTAGGGAGGCAGTTAGACGGGCCAAAGCTACCATGGAGCTGAGGATGGCAACCCAAGTAAAAGACAACAAGAAATTGTTTTTTAGATATATTGGGAGTAAAAGGAAGGCCCAGGGAGGAATAGGACCCCTGCTAAATGGGCAGAAACAATTGGTGACGGACAGGGGGGACAAGGCTGAACTCCTCAACGAGTTCTTTGCCTCAGTGTCCCTAAGCGAGGGGCACGACAAGTCTCTCACTGGGATTGTAGAGAGGCAGC